AAGACATGTACTCCATACTTCCAACAAAAACTCCTTCTATGAATGGAGACGATACAATGCTTTCTCCCTAAAGTGGGGAACAAGGGCAGATATGCTTACTCTTCATCTTGGACCTTCTGAGACCAAAGCTAAGGGGCTCAGAGTGTTCCTTTCCAGGAGCCCTATTAAGGAGAAGGTAAATAAGCAAATCCTTGAAGATCAAGGTATTGTTTTTTTAAAATGTAAGCTGAGGGGCCGGGGATTTAGCTCAGTAGTTCTGGTGCCTGCCTTGCATGTACAAGGTCCCGAGTTCAATCCCCAGTACCAAAAAAAAATGTAAGCTGAGGTTACCAAACCAGGTTAAAATCATGATAAAAGTGTCTACATATCAGACATCTGACAAGGCCAAGCAAGTAGGAACGTGGCATTTTGCAACATAGCAAAGACATGAAAATAAATGTTATATGGGAAAACAGGGTCTCTTCCCCCAATCCTGTGCATAGCTAAAGACTGGGTAGAAAGGCATGAAGTGAAGTGACAGAAAAAGATACAAATCATAAGACTGACAAGGGGACAGAGCCAGTTTATATTGGCTCTTTAAACACAGCTTAACCCAGTACCCTTTATTTTAAATCTGGGATCTCAAGCCCAAATATCAATGGCAACCAGGCAGGTGGTAAGAAAAAAATAACAGTGCAAGTGTGCTTACAGGTGGCAAGTAATGTTTCTTCAGTGTCTAGGTGACCATAGGGAGTGGTGGAGACTGCAGCAGACTGGAGCCCACAGGCCTAGCTAAAGGAGCAGCTCCTATCCAGAAGCAACTCTACTCGCACAAGGAACGCTGACCCAGAAGGGCCAGCCTCCCAATTTTCCAAGAGAAGCCAAAAATCTAAAATTCTGTTTGAGGGCCAGGGATTTAGCTCAGTGGTTCTGCCACCTGCCTCGCAAGCGTAAGGACCCGAGTTTGATCCCTGTTACCAATAATTAATTAATTAATTAATTAATTTGAAATGACTATTTTTAAAATGCTGATAACTCATGCATAATAAAAATGATAAATTAATACTGTACGGACCAAACAAAAACTTTTGTTTGTAGGCTATGTGTTCTCTAAAAGCTGCCAGTTAGCAACCTCTAACGATAATAAAAAAAAAGCACTATGCTTTTAAAATAAATATTTTCAAATAGAAGTGCTCTGGCTCTATTGACCCGAACAAGCATTTTCTCTTGCTGGTGGAGTGTGTTGGCAGTTGCCCCAGTGGAGTTTGAGAGGCGGGGAGCACTCCAATCTACTTCCTGCAGCTAACACTGGCACTGGAGGACTTTGTAGTGGCCACTCAGAAACCCTTCCCCAGTCACATGTCAAAGCTAATCACCCATCCTCAAGGGAGAAGGTCACAGGAGAGGTTTGGAATCACAGAGGGTGGAGAGGACAGGAACCAAGCTGCCAGGCACTAATTCAATGGCCTTGCCAATCTCCCTATCTGACCTTTAATAGAAACTGGTAAGACACAGACAGGACCCTAAAAAACAAAGCCAAACACTTCTCTCTCTGGCTGAGCCCCATAGGAACTATTTGTTTCATTCCAGTGGGCTATTTAACTTGGCATCTTCATGGGTGTTAAATCAAAAATCCCTGTATGTGGAGTTGAAACACAAACACTTCACATACTCAGTTAATTCAATAAAACCTCAACATGGCAATGACATGCTTTAGGGTGAGGGTCCCTTGACCATAACTTCTCATCAGCCTAGAAGTTCAAAGGAGTGTGTCTGTTTTAATGTCTGAATTGCACACACATTAATGATTCCTTATGGATACTATTTATAAGGTGTCAATCAATAAAGACCAGAACCAGTTTTTTATTAGTGTTTTTCCTTCCTAATGAGAAGCCAAGATACAATCTAACCAAATACTAGCCAAACAAAAACAGAAGTAAACTGATGATTGCTGAGTTGGAACCCTCCTCTTTGTGTGTGGCTCCAGACACAGGGGTAAAGCTAAAGGCATCCTTTGAAAGTCTGGGGTCATGTCCCCTCCCTAGGAGGTAATGGAGAAGTCAGAGAGCCAAAAATGTCTCATTTCTTCTGAAAAAAAAGCAGAATAAGATGACTACAGAGAGGTAATAGCCTATTTCAAAATCAAAGGAGGATGGTGGGTATAAAGCTACCTGGAGATCCTGGGAAAAGAAAGTGAAGGCCAGAGGGCTAGGAGGGTGTGGCAGGACAGAGAGTACCTACAGAACAAGGCAAAGGTTCTGAAAAGAAGAGCCCTAAAGTAAAGGCAAGGCGCAGAGCTATGGAACTGGAGGGCAAAATGTCTGGGCCCTTCTGTCTCTGCCTCAGGGAACCTGACATATCATGTCACAATAAGAACATTCAAACTGTCATGTAAGTGTGTCTGTCCTGGAATTTGACCACACTGGGTCCTCAGAAAGTTTGCAAAGAGGTTCTTGGAGATTTTCCTGATCTGCCTCACTTCACCCACTCTCAAATCCACCCCTAAAAGCCTGACCAAATTTGGCTCAGGTGGTGGCCAGATAAGTTATCATCTAAACCAGGGGTCTTGAAAAAGAGAAAGCACAATCATATTGCTAATTATGCCAAGACAGCACACATTAAACAGGCCAGTCCTGGGCATAGGTGGCAGGGGTCAAGGAGGAAGAGAAAGGCACAGGGAGATGCTCAGAAAATAGGGTGACAGTTGTGTTTAAGTTCCACAATTCGCTCTGAAGAATCCTTTAAATTTATGCTTTCAAACCCAGGTAATGTGAAATGTGGAGGGCATTTGTTTCCACAGTAAACACATTTATTCATGTACTGCCTTTTGGAGAAAGATCTAAACTGTTAGGCTTAGGAGTATTGAGGCATTCTGTGCTCATTAGGACCCTTTGTATCACAAGTGGCATGTAGCTATTTCTTTCTAACTTTTGGGATGCTTGGAAAGCCTTTTCTGCAAAATACCTCCCAGTTCGAATATTGTTGCTTTGGGGTTGGGAAATGTTAAAATAACACAAGCCAACACAGTTCTCAGGCAAGGCGGAATTCTTGTGAGAAAAATCACAAAATAAAATTTGGTGCTACATTTTTTAATTCTAAAGGTTATGACAATTACACACTAAGTGAACATATTAAAGTTTCTAAAATTGTAGTGGGCATGCCTGTAGTTCCAGCTACTCGGGAGGCTGAGGCAGGAAGACCATCACTTTAGTTGAAGTGTTCAGAGCCAGACTAGGCAACATAGTGAGACTTTTGTCTCAAAAAGAAGCAGGAAAAAAAAAACACAAAACGGTTCAGTGTGCGATTGTTGGAACTCAGAATATGGTTTATCATCCTGACAACCTGGAGTGACTGCAGGCTGGCATAAGGCAGATTCAACTCGTAGCAGGAACAAAACTGGGTAGGGAAAATGTGGCCAAGGAAGGAAACAATCACTTTCCCCGTCTCAGAGAACTGTAAGTAAAATCACCTTTTGGCAGTCTCCTGTCTTCGAGTCTCCTTCCCACACCTCAGGCATCCTGTGCTTCTCAGAGCCCACAAGGCCTCCATCAAAACCAGCCTCCTTGGGCCAGGGGTGTAGCTCAGTGGCACAATGCCTGCCTGGCAAGCATGAGGTCCAGAATTCACCCCCCAGTACCAAAAAAAGAAAAAAAACCCAGCCTCCAAATCACCCTACACACCCCCAACCTAAACTGTGCCCCTCAGGGCAGCCAGTCTCTGCCACGCCATCCTGCTGGTCTAAGCCACACTAAAGGGTGCGGGGCTGAGTGGCCCATGAAAAATTCTGCTTATTGATCAGAAGACTCTAATTGGCATAATGTTAGACTACAGTACAGTATGATACAAACCTTCAGGAAACAGAGAAGATTAGGGAGAGGGTACACATGACACAGGCAGATAAACTGCCTCCAGGACTATTGCACAGCAGCGTCCTGAGCAATTCTAAGAGGAACTGAGTGGGGTTTTTTGTTCAGATTTTCTTTTTATGACAACAGTCCCCCTGGCAACAACATGAGGTCTTAGGACACAGGAAAAGAGGGCAGTAGTGGGCTGATAAGATAAGGACGGTGAGAAGCATTCATCTACCCTCATCTTTTCAAAGTAATCACCTATGCATACTAGATCTGCTACCTGCACTCAACTCTACCAGTTGTCTCTGGAAGTGCAGATGTGTTCGCATGAAAGACAGATGGAAGGGGACAAAGACAAGAGGCGGAGAAAGGCAGAGGGAAGAGCATGTAGCACTTGGATGACAGTGCCTTATTAAATGCTGTCCTATAATTTGGCTATGCACAAACCCATCTTGTTACATGGTGTCTTCTAAAATGAGAGTGAATCCCATGAAATCTGTAGGTTACACACATTGCTAAGAAAGAGAAGGCACCACCATGCAGATGGAACCATCATGTAAACAGAGGGCTTACAGAGTGGCCCCTTTAAGTCAATTTTCTAACCGGAACTGACTCTCACATGATCTCATCTCCCGCACAAAAAAAGTCATTTATTCCAAGAAGCTCACCTTTTTACCTGATGCCTGAAAAATCTTAATTAATGTGCCTGATCTTCGGTCAGCTCTGAATATATAAACCTAAGGAATGAAAAAAAAAAACTATAGTTAGGACGGACACAATGATCAGAGATATTTATCAGCATTCTCTTAAGAGTCCTGTTTAAAAGCCAGGCACAGGACAAGCGTGCTTATGCCGGCTGATGTTAATGAAGTGAGCATAACTCTCATACTGCCAACCCTCCAGGAAAGTGTCCTTTAATCCTGAGGTGGAAGTCACCTCCATCAATTCTGAACCACAGAGTTTACAGAAGTCATACACAGTCTAGGAGCTTCCAAATTATTAGCAAACAATTCAACTCTCAGAAATAGTTTCTCCCTTAAAATAGTTCCTTCAATCCTATTAGAGCTTTAACAGAAATAAGGCAAAGGTGGGCATTTTAGACAAAAAAAAGTCCTCCAAAATGATTCTACATAATATTATACCCAAGGAATCTGCTTGGGTGAACATAGGTTTAGCTTGGGAAATGCAAAGTTAAACATTAAATAAGTTCCTTTCCTGTCAAAATTTTCAGAGCCTTTGGTATGGGTATTTAAATGATGAATGCCATTGATATTTAACTTCCTAAATGTATTTCACTGTTCTTTTTCAAGTTACATTTTACAGAAAGACTATTTTCATGAGAAACAGAGTACGGGACCCTCCCCTGGGACAAGGAACAGACATAATAGCATTAAGGGTTCTGTGCCCTGGTACCAGAAATGAAGGTCAGAGGCCCATTCTGGGGTCCTTAAAGATAAAGCCTGTGTGAGCCCTAATCCCTGGGAATGTGAAACAGTCAGTAACTTTGTCACCTACAGCCAGTTTCCTCAGTGCCTCTCAGGTCATACAACTCAAAGAAGCATGTTCATGTTCTGTTAACTGGATCCAGGACTCCCTCTGGCTGCCTCTATCAGTTATAAATATCATTCTTGTCCTAAGACCTGACAGGGATTAAGTAGTCATCACCATTATCTTAAGGAGAAACAATAAAATCAAATTAAGTTTTTCTGTAATTGGCAAGGAAAGAAAGCCACTGTCACCAGCACAAAGCATCTGCACTGCTGTAAACTGGGAGTAGGCATTTTTACCAACACCAGGAAGATGGCTGGTGGCCTACAGTACCTCCTTGGAAGATGCCATCAATTCAGCAATGCGCACAGTACTTCTCCTTCCACCACTTGGAGGAATTCATGTGATTCAGAAAAACCCAACCCTTTCTTTTTTTTTTTTTTTTTTTGGTACCAAGGATCGAACTCGGGTCCTTGTGCTTGCAAGGCAAGCAATGGAACCACTGAGCTAAATCCCTGGCCCAACCCAACCCTTTCTTGAAGTTACCAAAAGTTCATCAGCTTAAGGCCCTGGTTCATCTGGTTTTGTTTTCAAGAGACCTCTCTCCATACTATCAGCACTAGAGAAGAGAGGGGGACAAGCTCCAACAATAAAAGCGGGGGTCTCCTGACTCCTACCCATAAGGATCCATCAAAATGGCCCTCATAAATATGTTTTAATCAAGCCAGTCAGCTGGACTCTTTAGCTCCCTGATCCTCTTACATCTTGGCTGAAAGCTCCCATTAACAGTGATCTCAGCCCACCTGGGCCTCTCTAGAATCCAGATCCCACTTCTCTAAGCCATGGAAAATATGGCAAACTTTATTGCAGGTCTGCCCCTAAGGGCACAGAGTAGTTCACACCGCTGTTCAGTCTTTCCCATCAGAAGACCTGAAGAACTTGTTAAAAACATAGATTCCTGGCCAGGGATTTAGCTCAGTGGTTCTGATGCCTGCCTTGAAAGCGCAAGGTTTGGAGTTCGATCTCTGGTACCAAAAAAAAAAAAAAAACAGATTCCTGAGCCATCTGGATCTCCCCCACAGGAGTTCTTGCACCCTGAAACTAAATAATCAACAAGCATAGCTCTTCACAATTTAGGCGCTAAGGGGTCATGATTCCCAAAAGAATTCATCCCTAGATCCAGAGAGGTCTGTTCTACATTCTGGGCAGATACTTAGAGAAAGCCAGAACCATATGCTCCCAAGCCAGGCTTGGGCTCCACCAGTCTTGGGAACCCAGTGTTCCTTCCAAAAGACTGGGGAAATAAATAAGAATTCAGGCACAAAAAAGCCTTCTAAAGATACTTGGGACTAGATCTGATTCCATGAAGCCAAAGTCATATCTGGGAAAGGTTTAGGAAGGCAGGGTGCCACAATGTGAAGAGTAGTCATAAAATAACACATACCCCAAGTCAACTGCAAAAGTTTCAGAAGAGAATGTGCAGAGACTAAACAATGTTAATAGTATTCACACTCTAAGATTTTAAGGTAAACTCTCAAAATCTAGAAGGGAACTGTCACAGGGTCCTCACTGTTGTAACACTAACCTTCCAGCAACCTATGAGAATATTCAGGTGAAAGTCAGCTGGCAAACCTCTGTAACAGGGGCAGATGCCCCCACTTCTGTCTGCCCCATGTCACACCCCAGGCTTTTCTCCTCACCTTTCCGATGCCTTCATCCTGGGGGGCACCTCCAACCACGTCAGTGCTGGATGGGTGAGAGAAGTGGCCAGCGGTCACTGAGTAACCTGAATAGGATGAGTAGAAAACAAGGACCGGCTTGATAAAGACAGTCATGGAAGAAAAATACACACCAGAGGAAAAAGTTCCTCGAGCATGTCCCCTCTCTCAACATCATATTACAGTTATTCTGAGAACTTAAATTAGCAGGGAACAAATGGCAGCTGTCAATCTTCTTGTGCTTAAATGGCTCATCTCACAAAAAGGGATATTCATAAGGACATTGGGACAAGAAAGAGTACTAAGTGCCTTCTCTGGGACAGGTACTGTGTTAAATACTGCTTATTTCTGAGATATAATTTTTATAAACATAACTGAGGTATAGAACTTAATGGGTTCATATACATGTACATAACACCCAGATCAATAAAGTGAATATAAAGGCTGGGGGTGCAGCTCTGCACAGGAGCACCTGCCTAGCATGGACAAGGGCAAGGGTGCACTCCCCAGCACCACAAAAAAGTGAATATAAACACAGAACCAGAACCCAGGAAGTTTGCTCACTGCCTCTTCTAGCTAATATCTCCCCACAGGTAGTCATGATTCTGATTTCTATCACTATACACTATAGGTGTACCTTGTTGTGTGTGGCAGTCTTTTTCTATTGTTGAGTAATATGCTGTTGTACAAATACATCATCTTTATTCTCTTGTTGCTGGGTATTTGTTTTTAAATTGGGGCAATTATAAATAAAATTACTATGAATATCTTATATGTGGCTTTAAATGTCATTATTTCTTTCAATATAACAACCCTATGAAGAAGCTATGATTGATTCTTCTGTTTTGTGAATTTGGAAATGGGCAAAACACAGCCAAACAACATACCCAAGATCACACAGCAAGGTTCAAATCAATCTGTGTGACTCCATAGTCCCTGCCCCTGACCATTATATCATATCCTTCCTCACAGAAGGTAAAAGAAGCTGACAAGGGATTCATGGATAGATGGCCAGTCAGATAGTGAAGAATCTGGATACATAAAATCCAGAAACTTAGGGGAAAGTCATCTGAGCTTAATCAAAATGACTCCTGCCTTCTGAGCACCTTCCTGGCAGACTGAAAGCATTCTTCTGACCAGCAACTCTTCTGAACTGGTTGCCACACATTCCTTAAACCTTTTCATAACCTTCAAACCTTTATGATATGATTATAAGCTGAGTTTTGTGATGACACATATCATTAATTTTTACCATATAATGACCTATTTTTATTCTCCACATGCTACTTGTCTCAGATTGGCAGTTTACATCGCCTCCAAGTATCATGAGTGACAGGTAAGGGCCTCTGTTTTGCACACAGGGAGAAACCCCAGGTCCCAAGATTCACAGGACCTGTCCTAGACCCTCAAGCCACCATCCAAACTGGGCTATCTTCTGCATTTTCTGATTCAATATACACATGCTAAGTTTTTACTTAGACACCAGGCACCATAGCAAGTCCTAGGAATGTGATACAAAATCCCACTTCAAGGTGCTAGCAGCCTCATCAGGGCTTCAGTACCACTCACAGGTGCTGTCTCAGCTGCGTACATAGGAGAGGTAGCTCAGTACTGAACTCTTCATCAAAAACCAGGTTTATACCCAGCTTTGCTACTACGGGCCATGTGACCTGGCCCATAACTTCTTTGTACCTCAGTTTCTTTACCTATAAAATGTGTACAATTATGATGGCTGGTTGTTTCAGGAATTAAAAGAAATCATATACAGGGTGGGGAATTTAGCTCAGTGGTGCTGTGCCTGCCTCACAAGCGCAAGGTCTTCAGTTCAATCCCCAGAACCAGAAAAAAACCAAAAAGAATATACAAAACCAGGCACAGAGTAAATGCTTAATAAGTGACAGCACTGAGGAGCTGGATAAGCACAGAGACTCAGTAAAAATACTGTTGGGTCTGTTCTACTGGGTAAACCACTTGGAGTCAGAAGAGAAAAGATAAGTCACCAAGCCCCTACTGCCACCTAACAAGGAAATTCCCAGTGACTGTATTCAAAAAGGGGTCAGGGGATTCCCCTGGCTTAAGTCATAAGCAGTGAGTGTGAAAAAGCATTGTTTTATCATTATTAGCCTTCCCTAAATTTAGCTTTATTTTCAGCCTAAAAGTATAGCACTTAGGGCATGAATTGAGTCTTGTAACAGTGATTTACATAATCAGCAAAGACAGTCTATATCTGTTCTTAAATGGGCATGGCCTTGTCCCAACACGACTGCTACCTGATGGCTGCTAAATTAAATTGTGTCTATCATCTTTCTAGAATACTAAAAAGGTTTACCAAAATAAAAGAAATTTTTCTGAGCTTTTAATTAAATTTCAGCATCCTAGGATGCCATCTATCATGATCATTTCTGGTCCTTATTACTCTGGTTTGTAACCAGGAAGCAAAGGCTCCATCCAAGGGATGTCAAGGAAAAGTAAGATCCTCAACACTCATTTGGATGTGACTATGTGAACTTGGGAGTAACTGTTGAAATGAGGAGATAAAATGTTTGCTTCTCTAGAGGCTCAAACTGTCTGTTTTTAAATAAATCACACACAAATAACTTAGTTCCCTTTGTTTTCTTCCCTACCTTCTGTGTGTGGCTAGATGTTAAGGTGCTCAAGGAAAAAATGTAACTAATTAGAACAACAGATGTCAAAGCCAAGAAGACTTCACTCTTCTTCCCATCAATAAAACAGTAACTCATGACTTGGTGGTAGTGGCTTCCATTTCCCCTTTCTCACCTGTCATCTCCCCAGCTACTTACCCAGGTAGGTATACCTCCTATTCATGATTGCTTCATCGTTCAGTTTAAAATAGGTGTTGTCTGTGAGGTTCAGCACTTTGACAGTCCCAGCCCAATAGAATGACCCTGGAGCACCCATCACCACCAGCTCCTACAAAAAGAAATCCAAAGGTAAACAGGGGAGCTAAGGAATGGATTAGGGGATGCAGTGAGCACCACAGTCACAACAAAGAACTCAGAATTAAATTCAACATACTTCATCATCAATTGTTTTCATCATCTTAGCTATAAATATTTCACCAGGTTCCTTGGCACTATTGGACCTATCATAGGATCTGGGATTAACAAGACTAAAGACATGAAGATAACTAAGCAGGGGGCAGAATGAGTGACACACCAGATCCCTAGCCTATTCAAGATGACGCTGTACATAATTTCAACTTTACAGCAAGAAGTTGGAAACAGCAAACAATTGCCATTGTCCTAAACCACAGAATTCTGAGGAGTAATACTCATGAAAAGGTAGCAGTACTTTACCTCGGCTGGGCTCCAGCCCCACTGTCCACCAATTCTAGCTGCCTGGTGCAAGTAAGAAATAAACCAGCAACCAAAATCAGCTTTGCAAAAACTGCATGCTAAAATCCCAGGGAAATCACTTAGGTGCTCGCTCTCCTCTGGAATGATTCTAAAGCCTGGTTTTCTGATCACTGTAGCCTACTGCAAACTGAAAGGAACAAAAGCAAGAGACCCTAGAGGACAACTAGGGAAAAAACATAAACTAGAAAGAGACCAGAGGCAGCAAGAGACTGTAGTACTATTAAAAACAGGCTCAAGAATGCAAAAGGCACCACTTTCCACATTTAGATTAGGGGAAATGTCCCTGCATTTGCAACAGGGCAGAGAGCCTGTTTGTGCTGCAAAACCACCTAATGCTAAGTTCTCCAAAATGATTCCTTTATCTAAGGAAGTCAGCAGACATATAGCTACATGACTTTACCCACAAGAGGATTAATCATCTGCATAAAAAGTTTAAAACAAGATGGGAACACTTCGAAGAGCTAACAATCGAGATTCTAAATTATGGTACATGCATTCCACAGAATTCTATTCAGCATTAAAAATACTGTAGAAGACCTAATGGCATTATTGATAGGCACAAAGTGCTGCCGAGTTAAAAAATTGTACCACACAAAGTGTATGGTATTGATCATGTTTTGTAAAAGAAAAAAAAAAAAACATGAATACAAACACACAAAGACCAGGAAGATAAGTCCTAAAATATATGTTTCTTTCCCCCTCCCACAATGAGTGATGGGATAATGGGACTTCCTTCTTTCCATCCTCCAAGTTTATTTTCTATGTATTTTTTAAAATTCTCCAATAGATTTTTCCTGACACACCGGGCTCCCATAAAATTCAGCTGTCAACCCTCCCAGCCATTTCAGGCTCCTCTCTTGCCTCTTCCCCCTCATTCTCCACACTAAGGGCCCTCTCAGCCAGCTGGGGTTTTCTCAGCAAATGCTGCTTTTTTAATCTCCATTTCTGCAATGCCCTCAGACTTCCTCTGCTCAAGCAGTTCTTTCTCAGCCTCCAAAGCCCAGCTGAAATGTGGATACATCTTAATCAGACAAAATGAGGATGGAAAAGAATACAGTATATCTTATGATCCCATTCATGTGAAGTTCTAGAATTGGTAAAATGAATCTATGGTGATAGAATTCAGATCAGTGGTTGCCTGGGATAAGAGGGGCAGAACTGTCTACACATGGGGAATGAGAAGCTTCTGGGTGATGGTAATGTTCTAATCTTAATTGAGGAGGGAATAACAGTATACACATATGTCAAAATTCTGTAAGTTCTGTATTTTAAATGGGTATGTGTTAAGCCAGCCACAGTGGTGGGCACCTGTAGTCCCAGGTACTTGGCAGCCTGAAGCAGGAGGATTTCTTGAGCCCAGGTGTTTGAGGCCAGCTTGTGAAATCTATCTCCATAAGGAAGAAAATATATTTAGGCTGGGGGTACAGCTCATTGCTAGAGGCCCTACATTCAACCCCTAGCACTGAAAATAAATTAATTACATAAAGAAAATTGGTGCATTTTATTATATGGATTAAATATAATACACTTGATTTTTTAAAATTCCAGAACAGTGATTAAACACAGACAAGGAAGTCATGTCATGAAAACACAAAACAGGCCTGTGAGATGCTATTTTATCGGCACTGAAATACTCATGCTGTGCTAGGGAGACAAGGAGGAAAGCCGTCCTTGCAGTCACTAAATGCCCCTGGCTAAGGCTTTGGGTCCCTACTTTCATAACAAGAAATCCCTCCTTTTTTATTATTTATATTTTCTAAAGTATCTACACTGCCAAAAGAAAATAATAAAAATTATTTATCGAACAAAATCATTAAACTTTTTACCCAGCAGTATTTACTGAGTACCTACTATTATCTATCTAGAGCTCATGCTAGACACAAAGATAAAAGTTCACTTATACAACATTCTGGGGATAGGTTGCATGGAAATGTGCGAGACATTTTGGAAAAATGTCCATTCAAAAGGGTTAAAATAAACACAATTTCTACAGAAAACCCCTCAGCTGTACCCAAAACCCCACAGATACAGGCCACGTAGGCTTGTGGAGACAAGGGACATTGTATAGGACACATCTCTTGTGGCTAAAGTACACTCACCCTCCCAACCACAAACACTGGTATATATGTCAGAAACAGTGGCCTGGGATAGAAGAAGCAGTGGGTTTCTCACAAGTTCCTGGAGGCTAGATCCTGCCACAGAGATACTGAGTATCTGATGACAATTCGTGGTCACCGCACCATTCGTAGGATGTCAATGGCTGCAAAAGCAGAAACATCTAAAGAGAAAATGAGGGAGAGGAAGACAGAGCCTGCAGAAAAGTGGGCAATGCTTCAAATCACCTGTGAGTTGTAGCCAATCTGGGGACCAGGGTGTGAGCACAGGTGGGAGGAAAGGGACACAGGTGGATTTTAGCCGAGATGGTCTACTTTTGACAACTCACAAAGGCATGGGTCAGAAGTGACAACTGACAGATGCTTCATTCAAGGCCCCATGACCCTCTGAGACAGCTGCTTCTGCTAAGCCAGATACTCTCAAGAGATTCTCTCTGATTTATAAAAACTGATCACTTTCTGTACTAAGAACTCATCAATGGAAAAACGCAGTGGAGTGTGTGTACATATGTACATTTCTTGGTTCACTCTCCTTACATACACCTGTGCAGCATAGCTAGGTCCATGCTAGTTCTCAAAGGGTGTGAGAGAGACAAACCATCACTTCAAAAGACAAAGACTTTTTTCCTGTCCCTGAGTTTGGAAAGGAACCTGTAATCAGTGCCTATATAAAAAGGGCACCAAAGAACATAAATGATATCATTGATACCAGGTGTATATGCGGCACAATGCTGTCTCTATCTTCAGCTTCTTATAAACCAAAGTTCTGAGAGATAAGTCTGTCAAGACAGCAGGTACTGAGCATACCATTTCTGATGCAAGTTAATGCAGGTAAAAGTTGAGAAATGAATGTCTAGCATACTCCTCATCACCTCTCAAACATTATAAAGAGGATAAAACAAAGCAATGTTGAGTTGTGGGTGCAGCTCAGTGGTAGAGTGCTTGCCCAGCCTGTGTAAGGGCCTGGGTTCAATTCCCAATACAAAAGAAAAAAAGCAATCTCTTTCCTTAAAAACCTTTGAAACAAATAACTCTTGTTTTTTGCCTTCTCCTTTTAGTGCTCACACTCCCTTTTTGCTTCTGTCCAAACTGGATGAACTGGGGCTGGGCCTGTGACCCTCAGGGCTGGGTTGGGAAGAAAGTGTCTTCCTGGAAGTCCCTTGTACTTGCCTTTTTCTATTCACTATGGATCATGCGTGTGCACTTCTTGGTGCTGTTCACCAGGTGCCAGGAAAAAGGAATCAATGCTTAGCTCCCCATCACCCAAGAAACAGTCAATACCAATGTCACACACGAAAATCCAAGCTTCTCCTGCCTAAATCACATCAGTAGAATCATCTGAATAAGCAGTACAGGCCTTTTCTCAAGATGCATTTATTAGCAGCATCTGCAGAGGTGGAGGGACATCTGGGTGGGCCTAAACAAAGCCACAGGCCCTCCTCTGCATACTGCAAGTTGGCATGACCAGGATAGAATCTTATGCTGAGAAAATTTCCACCCAGATGCCCCCACTTGTGGGGCTGCCCAGCTCTTCTCTTGTTGCTTAGGAGTATCTATCACCTCTGTTATTCTAGTCTACAAAAATAAATAAAGTTCCTAGGAAATTCTCCCTTATCCACAGTGAGAGGTTAAAATTTATGTGGCCTCCATAACTCAGAGAGTTTTGATAACCTCAGGGTCACTGACTTGCAGGTCCAGCAGGCAGCTTAGGTCAGAATGTTTTAGACCAACATGGCCATGTCCAGAAGGCAAAAAAAAGCTCATGTAGCTTAGCAAGCAGCTCTCTATCCTGTGAGGGGACAGATCAGTTCACAGCAAAGGCAAGCCTAAGTGACGAGGTCAGCAGGAGGGCAGAGGACGGGAATACTTCCTGTGTGACCCCTTCAGCCACATTTCCTGCTCAGTTACAAGCAGCTGAAGTTACAGAAATGAGGGAAGCAGCAAGTTCAAAGACCTTTGTTTAAGGACCCAAAAACCTGAGAACCAAAGCATAGGCCAAAGCCTAGATGGGCCAAGAAACAGCAAGCTGGGGTCAGAGGATTGGGCAATGGCAGGAGGGGCTGTCTTCCCACTCACCACTGCCTACCCTTCTCCTAGTACCCTACACTAATGTCTCACTATTATTTTAGTGATGAAGAGAGCCAGCACATGCCAAGGCACTGTGATTCCTTTGGGTTGTGGATAACAGAACCTGGCATTTCAACAGGTCCTCTCATTTTGCTGGTCACTCCAACCTTGCATGGCCACCTACCCTTCCCATCCACCTCTCTGCCCTTCCTGCTCCTCCTATCAAGCCCTCCTTCCACACAGCCCCTTGTCTTTCCTAGCTTATAGGCTGGTGAGATCACAATGACACCTCCCTCTCCAGAACTCTTGCTCTCTCTTGGTTTTACAGCTTAGATTAAAAAATGCACTCTCCGCAAAGGCTCATATGTTTAGAAGTGAGGCTTTGGGAAGGTGGTTATATCCTGGGGCACTAACCTCACCAATGGATTAATCCATTGATGAGTTCATAGCTAAAAAGGCTGTTAGGAGGTGGGATCCGGCTAGACAGAGTACATCATTGGGGATTACAAAGGTGTACGCTTGTCTTTGGTCCCCCCCCCCCCCCGCTCTGGCTCTTTCCCTGTCTCTCTGCTTCCTGGCTACCACGTTAAGCAGCTTTCTTCCACCAAATCATCCACCATTAAGTTTCTGCCTTGGAGCCAGCTGACCATGGACTGAGATGTCTGAAACCCTGAACCGAAACAAATTCTTGCTCCTTTAAATTGTTTTTCTTAGGTATTGTGTCACAGTGACAAAAACACTAACACACTTGGTTCTCCCATCAATATCTCCATGAGTTTCAATTTCTGCCAGGAATTGACTCTCTCCTCCCATCATCTATGCCAAGGCCTCTCCTCACGGTCCCAGGCTAAACACACTCATCCCTCAGAGTTACCACCAAAGGATAAACCTAACTTGCTTGCTCAAGCTGGAGGCCAGGTCTTACATCTATTTATCCCCTAGAAGCAGATATAGGAGTGGCCTAGTATCCCATACTTATGCCAATCTACTCATCCTGGGGGTTCTTCCTATCAGGAACAATAGCATTCTCCAGAACCCTTGTATAAAACCTCCATCATCTACCCATAGTACTCTAGCCACCCAGCCCACTGACTCTCTCTTCTTATTCTCTAACTCCCACAATATATTTTATTACTAATGTGTCACCCTAGCCTGACTGTTACTTCATGGCTAAACTACATCATGGGCTCCTGTATAGCCTCTCTCCAGGCTCTCCAAAGTCCTGGATAGTCAGCCCAAATAGCCTTTTATACAACACCAACTGGCTGTCTGCTTACGAATGCACAGGGATTCCTATTCTCTATTGAGTTGAGTCATACTTTACTAGACCTACTGGAAGAACAATAGCCATGAAAGCTCTAAAATCTACATGCTTACTGAGAGGGAAGAGTATGAAGTCAGCAAATGGCAAAATAGTATTTGAAGTCAATGGTGATAGGAAAAACTGAGTAATAGACCAGTATCAAAACAATCAACTATACATTCATGAAAACAATGTAGTTTCTACTATATAAAATATATAAAAATCAATTTCAAGAAAATTAAAGATACAATTTTTTTTTAAAAAATCATATACAGCCAGGCATGGTGTTACATGCCTATAATGCCAGTTACTCAGGTGGCTGACACAGTAAGATCACAAGTTATAGCCAACCTGGGTAATTTAGTGAGACTTTATCAAAATAAAAAACAAAGAAAGAATCAGGGATGTAGCTCAGTAGAGAGGACCCCTAGTTTCAATTCCTAGTACTGAAAAAAACTCTATTAAAGTATAGAAGAAAATATGGGTGGATATTTTCATATTCTTAGAGAAGGGTTGTCCTAAGCAACAAAGAGATATAGAATCCAGAAAGAAAAAGACAGATTTGACAAAGCATCAATGTTTAAGGCCAGCACAATAAGACACCTTCAGCACACTAACAGGCAAAAAACTGTTTTTTACAACACAAATAAGAGGTTAATGTAAAATAGGTACTAAGTTACCACAAACCAATAAAATAACCACAACAAAACCAAAGCAATGAACTAACATTAACAAGAAATTTTCTGAAAAACACAAATGGCCAATATTTGAAATAGAGATTAAATTACACTAACAATCAAGTAATGGGACATTAAAATAAAATGCAATTTCTTTTTTTCACTGACAAAATTTTAAAATGTTGGTAAGAGAATGCTGGGACAGACCTAAGTGGGATGGGGTTGGGGGGTAGGTGTCAATTAGTAAATATTTTTGGAATGCAATGTGTCAGAATGTCTCAAAAGTCCCACTCTAAGTACGTTTGGAATCCACCACATGTCTCTTCTAAAGCATGTCTCTTCTTAAGCACAGAGGCATGAGTGTGTGTGTGTGTGTATCTCCAGCACAATGCTTCAGTTACTGTGTGGCATGTTCTAGCTACTGAGCCTGTGGGAGGCAGGGAGGCAGGGGAGGCCAGGGAACAGATGAGGCTGAAAGGCAGGAGGGCCTGGGAGGCCATTCGAGAAAAGGCATCTGGGTTGCATTATAAGTGGATAGGAAGACACTGAGCAGTTCTCTGCAAGGAGTGCCCTGACACGTTTTTTGTTTGTAGAAGATGGTTCTGGGACTCGTCTATCAGGAGGGAGGGTGGAAGCAGGATAACAGGAGGGTTCTGAAGTAGGTTGGGGCAAAACAATTGTGGCTTAGATTTGTGGGGTGGCAGAGGACATGGAGAGAAATAAATGCCTTTGTGATAGGTTTTGAGGGTGTAAGTGGCTGACGGTAGGAGAGTGAGGTAAAAGAAGAATTACTGAAGGGGGGGTTAGAAGGAAACATCTCATATTTACTGGCTTAAGAGTAAAAGATTTCTGATTTTCTATCTTTCCTTTTGTTCTCTAGATGAAATACTATTGCCAACTGCCTGTTTTCCCTTTGAATTTAAACTGCAGCTTCTGAAATGAAGGCGGACAGTTTAGTTCCTGACTCAGAAGGACACTCTTCAGAAAGCTTTGGAAATCAGAATGCTATCCATCTTTTCTCCTCCCTCCAAATCCTGTTCTTCCTCCAGTTCTCTGCTATCTTGGAGTGAAGGAAGAAGAAAGAAGTGTCCTCAGAGAATGAGGTCCATGGACCAAGAGGTGGAATTTGGGTCTTAATCTCTCATGAAATGAGAAATCAGAGTCAGAAGGATAGGTTTGACTTTCAAGATCCCTCAGGCTGGTGTGCAGAAAACACATGGTAGGGGTCAAGAATGAACACAGGTTGAGGCAGTGAAAATTTTCTAAAACTTGGGCTACAGGTGTAGCTCCATGATAAAGTGTTTTCTTAGTATGTGCAAGGCCATGGGTTCAAACCTAGTACAACAGCAACAACAAAAAGTTCTAAAGCTAGGCAATGTTGATAATTGTATGACAGTGTAAATGTCACTGATGTGTATACTTTAAAATGGTTAAAATGGGAAATTCTATGTTATCTATATCAGACCAAAGTTTTTTTTAATGGACTAAGGGGAGACCAATTCAGGAGTAATGTATTTCCAGGTGACAGTAGTAGCTTTTCTAGAAGTATGGTGGTGATGGTGGTAATAGAGAAAACCTGTCATTTGGAATATGTTTTGAAGGTTAAAACTAAAGATTTCAGATGAACTAGAAGTAAAGTACTTTTTATGTTTGGCCTACACAACTCAATGGTGAAACTTACAAAGCCTAGCAAGAAACATTGGGCATGGCAGGCAATCATAAAAATGTTTGTGGAACGAGGAGTGGGCATGAAGAGCAAACTAACAGTAGATTAGACTCACATAAGAAAACAGTGCCTAAAAATGTTGCTGCTCAATGGACACATTCAAGTGCAGGGTCCTTCAGAATCTGAGAAAAGAAATAGCACTGTGTACATAATGGAGTCTCACAAGACCTCACTGAATGCTTGTACGCTTGACATATCTTCACAACTGCCAGTGAGGCCCAACTTCACTGAATGTCGTTGCACCCACACCCTCTTTAATCAACTCTTTACAAAGGGCTCAGAGTCAAGTTGACCTCTATAAAAATCTCCAGCCCACCTCCCCCTGCCCAATGGACTCTGGACAGCTGGTGCCTCCATCAGGTTTAAATAACTCTCCCTGATGTAAGGACCAGAATCTGCTCCGCCACAGTTTGCAAATCTGGAACACCAGAAGTCCAACCTCCACAGGAGACAAAAATCTTGGAAAGTAAGGATATGAAGACCAAGAAGAGAAGAGATATCCCCATATGGCTGATACCTACCTCAGTGAAGAAGCCTGCTATCCCCGCCTGGCAGGAGCCATGTTCCTCGCCATACTTCTTCTTGTACTCTGGAGCAAGAGGAAGGAAAGAGAAGCAAACCACAGCTATGTCAGTGAGAGCTTGTTTTGTGTGGAGTCCAGCAAGCAAGCTGCCACTTCCCACAGTGCCTCTGTGAGATGGGCCTAGGGATGCCGTCCAGACTGGGGCACGGAAAGGAAGACTGTGGAATCCACCAGACCTCAAAAATCCTGGCTCTGGTGCCATCAGGTAGTGAAGCTGCCAAGTGCCCCAGAGGACTTCCTCTGCTCGTGCAGGGAAAAGAGGAGCAGCAGCCACAGTAATTAAGTGGGAAGCTGGTGACAATTATTTCATTTACTTCAGAAATGATCAAGATCCCTAGAGGGCCCAAGGAGCTGAAAACATGACCCAGAAATGGAACATTGTGACCATCCTAGTGTGGAGTCCTCTGGAAGGAGACCAACCCACCCAAAATGACATTACAGCTGGAGGCAATGTGTTTCCTACCATCCACCAGAAACAAGCTGTCCACCCGCAGGCTAAGGAAGAGGGGCAACTTGGACTGGCCCCAGAGAATAGTTACACTGTCACACATGCCTCTGTCTTCCTTGTGTGGAAAGAAAAGGGCAAAGATTTCCCTGGGCCAAAATAAAACTGATTAAGAAGCTTCCTTGCTCCACCATGCAGCTCCCAACAGTCCAACCCAACAAATGGGACCATTCTGTTGTTGCTGTTTTATTTTTACATTGACAAGGAAGAGAGGGAGGAAACTTTTGATCAGGGTTTAGTGATTACAGGCTTTGTGTCACTTGCCTCCAGTCATATAATTTCATTCATTCCCCCACCCCTGAGAACCCATCTCCCCAGTTGCCAACAGGTAAGAATACTGAGAGCCTCAGAGAGGTTAAGTGAATTGTCCAGGGTTATACAGCTAGTAAACTCATTCTTTCACCTCTGCACCCTATCAAAGGTTTTACAAAGTAAGTAATTTTACAAAACCAAGAGAAAAGACTGGCTGTTTGAAATCATTTCATGGGTAGACAAGAAGGTCAAGGGAGGTTTAAAGGGACTTAAATCACATGTGACACTGGCATTGCTGGACACTTTCAAGCTGGAGCTACCCAGCACATAACCCAGTGACCCCTGGGCTCTTGGCAAGTCTTTAGTTCCATTAAAGCAATATAATTATTTTTGAAATACAAAATAAATAATATGAAGGAACAATGAAGCTGTGATTGCAACACAGTGTCACTTCCTGCAGCTCCACATGTCCACTGCAGGCTGAGAGGGAAATGGGCCCTGGGGAAATATACAGAGTAACTCAGTTTCTAACAACATTCGCTTGCAGAGCCTAGTAACATTTTCCAGTAAGTGGCCACTAACCAACAGCTAAATTATAACAGAATGTCAATTGAGTTACTCCCCTTCCATGAGAGGGTGAGATCAGTTCCTCCCGCCTTGTCCTGTTATTATAAGAATTCCCAGCCTGCCAAAAAGCAACCGGGTGGCCAGTGAAACCACTTGTTCCTGCAAAATCCTGCATGGGGGCTGGAAGTAGGGGGCTTGTGCAAAGAAATAAATCAAGAATCAAATTGCATGATGCCAAGAAACACAGATAGATAATAAATCCTGAATCGAACTGCACAATGGCAAAAAACACCAAACTACCCCAATCCAAACAGGCTTTACATATTAAACCTGGAAGGTCTGGCAAAAAGCATATTTACCCTCACTAAATCTAGAGGTTAAATACCCACTGCAACTCTTTTTAAAAATGAAATAATACAAAGAAATTCAGATCCCAAGAACTGAGCAATGTTGCCTAACATACTAGTTCAGATTCATAAATTTGCCATGAATAGGAAGTATGTAGGAATCTTAACTTTTCTAAGGCAGTTTCAAGGTCTCTTTGTGACAGGGACTCCAAAAACGGTTAGATACAAGAACTTCAATGCTTTTCTCAATCTCCTGCCCAAACTTTGTTGATGTTCTCTACTCTGAGAGGAACACCTGGAGTTTCTAAAGTGGCCATGGCCTCACTGGAATCTGGGAGCACTCCACTCTTGGACCAAGCTAAATGTGCAAGGGGGAGCCCTTAGCAGTAACTCCACTTCCCCAGGCTGGCTGACCAATAAGCACTTTCAGACCTCAGAGGTCTGAAGTTCTTAGCCACACACAGAAGCAGACACCAGCCCACTAGGTGTTTCTGAAATCCCCAGGTCTATACTTGCCTTCTCCAGATGCTCTAGAACAAGAAATTAAACAATGTAGAGCCCCCGACTAGTAAACATAATCCACAACTACCAGTTAGAGGACAGGCCATGTTCCAGTCTTCCAGAAACTTCTATGACTATGTCATTAACCCCCTCGATGTGGAAAAGGATCCACCATTAATCTTTCTACCTGTCCCATTTTCAGCATTCACACATTATCAGCAGAGGTGGGGCTTGGCAACTCTACTCTAGGAAGGCTTAACTGGTGCTAGTACCTTGAATTGACAGTAACATATTCTAAACCTTCCAGTCTTTCAGATGTGTCCTCAGCTTCTCCATCCAGGTGACCTTGCAGGTAAAGGTACATGATACTTTCTTCTGTCACAAAATTGGTTTATCCACCACAGTATTGGTTTAATACAATTTTCATCTCAGTGTCCTCAGTACCAGCCCAGTTCCAGGTACCTAAATGTGCCTGGTGATAGCATGTAGCCTATCCATGTGTGCGCACACTGCTCCATGTACAGAATCAAGACCCAAGTGAACATGTAACAGAACTAGGCACAGTCCTCCTGCATCAAGGCCTTGGACTCCCCAGTCTGCTTCCCTATTAACTTAAATTCCTTTTACATTCTGACCCTGTCTTTCCCTCCTCCAATCTGTAAGGTTCTTTGAACTCCATGTAGTCCTGCTTGAGGAGAACTTGTATTCTGGGTACCAGGAATCCTGGGTTCTATATCTGGAGCTCCCCAAAGCCTAAGAACAATGATGGGTATTGTAGAACTGGGACAAGGATTCGGAATTTTCTGGGTATTCCAAGTCTAAGACTGGCTGATTCTACCTTGGGTAAATCTGTCTCCTCATGGGCCTCAGGAGGACCAGGACAGAACACCTAGATGCTGTTCTCCAATCCCTGCCCACTCCCTGGCATAAACCTTTGTTGACTGTCCTTGAAGACCTGAGAGTAGTCACTTGACAGATGGGAGTGTCCATGCCATGAGACCCAGGTCTCAAGGGCAGAGTGACATGAAGTCACGATCCTTGTATCTGAGTCCTTTCTCTTCATGCAAAGTACTTGTCTAAAGCCCAAAGCCCTCTGAAGAACTGATGGGAGCAGCCTTCACAGAAACACTTCAGTGCTGCTCTTCATCAATCACATCTGAAGATATAGCATCACTGCACGAGGACAAATAGCAGCCCAAAACTCACATTTGGAGCTCAGCCAGCCTTTTCAATTAAAACAAAACAAAAGTAAAACCACACAGTGCTATTGGATACTAAGTGAGGAAGGATCAACGACGCACTTTGTAAAGTGAATAAAGCAAGATGACATTTAACCTGACACCTAAAGTGCAGCTGTGACTGTCAGGGTCCAGGCCTGGGCTCCAGGGCCTTCCCAAGAGACAATGACCAGACTCACCAGACATGGGGCCACAGGCATGCTGCAACTGCTTGGAAGTGCTATTTCTGCAAGTTAGAGACACTACCTTTCTGTGTGTGTGTAGTACTGGGGATTGAACCCAGGGGCTTATGCATGCTAAGCAACTGTTCTACTAAGCTACATCTCTAGCCCTTTTTATTTTTTTTAAATAAAGAATGAAGAGAGGGAGGGAAAGAAGGAAGGAGAGAGGTTAGTTGGTTGAGGTTTCTCCCTAATTCACCGTCCAAATGTCTTTACAAAGGCCTGCCTTCTCCAAAATGTACATACAGTTGGCCCTCCAAATCCCTGGGTTCCACATTCATGAATTCAACCAACCCTGGGTTGAAAATACTTGGAAAGTAATTGTAACTGTACTCTGTACAGGCTTTTTTCTGTCATTAATCCCTGAATAATACAGTATAGCAACTATTAGTATTTACATTGTACAGGGTATTATACATACTTTAGAGACAATTTAAAGCATATGGGAAGTTATAGGCAAAGACTATGCCATTTCACGTAGGGAGCTTGAGACTCTGAGGACATTGTTATATGACAAGAGTCCTGGAACCAATCCCTCACAAATACCATGGGGCATCTGCATGTAGAGTTATGCTAACATACTTATATTCTAAAAAAAAAACAAAAAAAAACTTGATTCTGCTTACATAGACCTGAGACCACCAAAGCTATGAGAATGAGGGTAGGTAGAAAGGCTAAGGGCTGCCCTACATGTGCCAACCCCAAGAAGCAAAGTCTCACACCCTGCCCCCATTGAGAAGTCCAGGAAATGCAGGGTGGAGATACCAGGAGCAGATGTAGGACCTCCAGTCTGCTGTGTTCCCAGGAAGAACTTTTCCTGCACAAAAACAAAGGCTGTGGGGCCCAGCAGTTAGTTGGCTGATCTTAGGCATTTCCACTCTGTCACAAATGCCCCCACAGTCATGGGACAGAAGAGAGGACTGAAAAATGGTATCTCCCTCTCTGCTACAGAATAAAACATTTTTCTACCTCAAAGAAATGGGAAAACCAAACTGTGAAGGACAGCAGCTCCCAGATACTTTAACAAACCTAACTGTTCAATTTTGAGACACCAAATCTGGTTGACAAAAGATGAGGTTGAACAAGGAGACCCAGAAATATCTGAGAGAAATTGGAAATAGGTTGGGGGATTTGAATTAAGTTGGCCTGCATCACATACTTTAATTCATTAAGTTATATGGCTCCTCCATTCAAAAATGGTAGTATTTTCCTTAGTTTCACTCCTAGTTTTATTAAACTCGGCCAAAACAGAAGGCAATTCAGAAAAGGGGAAAAAATATAGTATTAGTTTCCAAATGTTCACAGTCCTTGACCAGATGCATGGAGCCTACACTAATGAATTTTAATCCACTCAAGACAGCCCCTGATTGGGTGG